CTACGCAAAGATGAATGCTGAGACTCCGCTGAATAAAGAAAATCAAAATTCAGACGGAGAGGAAACTGAAGGCTGTAAAGGGGAGTCCAAATATCCAGTACTGTCTGTGACGACTGAGCAGTATAAGGCGTGGTGTCAACCCTGGATGAACTCACTGATCATTAAACTGCTGGGAGCACAAGTACCAAGACACATTCTCATTGATAGGGTTAGACGAATGTGGAAACCGCAGCAACCAATGAAGGTTACCCCGCTCAGTAATGATTATTACATCATTTCTTTCACTAGTAGAGAAGACCGAGATTATGCGTTCCAAGAGGGACCATGGATGATTGATGACCATTATCTGCTAGTACAACGTTGGAGGCCTAACTTTAATCCGTGGAAGGCGGATACTCAACGACGCATTGCGGCTTGGATTCGGATACCAGATCTTCCTATGGAATTCTACAACGTGGAATCTTTGGGAATTATTGGAAATATGGTGGGGCGTACTATCAAAGTGGACAGGTCCACATCTATATATGATAAGGGAGGTTTTGATAGAATATGTGTAGAGATTGACTTACAATGACCTTTATTACCTGCCTTCACGGCATGGGGGGAAGATCGACAGATAGTTTATGAAGGTCTTCATCAAGTCTGCTTCTGTTGTGGGAAATATGGCCATGAAAAGCATAACTGTCCTGAGATCTTAGAGACGCCGAGCGAGAATGAACAACCATCGGATGAAACAAACAAAGTGGAGAAGGTGCAAGCAATGTTTCCAAAGGAGCAGAGTGTGTGGGAAGAGTGCCCATCTGGTTCGAAACCACCATCGGCGAGGAGTTCCACGGCGGCAACGCCCGTCAGTCACCTAGGCCCGCAGATGCTGGTTAAGCGTGATTTTCGGCAGGGAGTTGTTGGAGCGGATAAGAAGGGATTTGACATTGAAAATAATGCAAAAAATCATGCCAGGATCATGACTAAGGATGAGCCGAAGCGAACGCCGAGATCAGTGGGATCCTCGATGGATGAAACTGGAAAATATATACATGCGAAATCTTCGATTAAAAGGAATTTGGAAAGGACGTCATGAATTCTACTTCTTGGGTTAAAGTGGGCTCAAAACGAAAAACTGATGAGAAATCCAAGACACGAGGCAAGGAAAATAAGCCCAACTCGAAAATGAATAGTGGGTTGACCCCATAAGACAAAACCTTGGCCTCAATCAACCCATTCGCCCTACTACAGCATGACTTACCTAATCAAGGACCTCCACCGACTATAGTAGCAAACTCCTCTCATGAATCAGGCTTGGACTGCATGGACATCATACAGGCTCCTGATGTGATCCATTTCAGTGCTGCGAATAGTCAGCACACCGTCGACACTGATGGACGTAGGAACAATAATAGTAACATACTCTTGGCTAGCGACGGTGGTGCAATTACCGAAACGGATAATGTCCCAGTGCTGGACACTAAAACAGCACGAAACCCCTCCATAGTTTCTTTATGAACTTCATGATATGGAATTCAAGAGGTACAGGTGTGAAGACATTTCCAAACCTGATACATGAACTAAAAAATCATTACCAACTTGATTTTCTTGCGCTAGTAGAAACACGTTCAGACAATGCCAACACCGCAAAACGAATTGGTCGTCTTGGGTTTCATGAATATACTTATATTGAATCTGAAGGTTATAGTGGTGGCATTTGGTGCCTTTGGAACGATAGGGGTACGCAAGGTGGAAGTTCTTCGGAGGCACCGTCAATTCATTCATCTGAAGCTAGAAAATAACCGCCATGAAGCTTGGGTGATGACTGTTATCTACGCTAGCCCAAATATTGTGGCAAGACGGCACCTCTGGAGTGAGTTGCAGCAACTTGAAAACAGTACGCAGGCGCCTTGGATCCTTGGGGGAGACTTTAATGCCACTCTTTTCGAGTCTGAAAGAAAGTCATCTGCTGTACACAAAACCTCGACAGACAGGGAGTTTTATAATTGGTATGCAGAAAGTAATGTGGAGGATCTGGGTTTTAGCGGACCACAATTTACGTGGAAACGAGGATCGACAGAAGCGCGCCTGGATCGTTACTTAGCTAACACTGATTGGTGCCAGCTCTTTCCCCATGCAAAGGTAACTCATCTTCCTTGCTATAAATCTGATCATCGCCCCATTCTACTCCGCCTTGACTTATGTAGGGAACATTACCAACGGCCATTCCGATTCATTGCGTCTTGGGTCTTACATGATAAGTTCAATGATTTTGTCAAACAAGCGTGGAACAATGAGATAAATTGGACGTCAAATATTATACAATTTACTGATGCATGTCGTGGGTGGAATAGGAATGTCTTTGGATATATCCAAGGGCGCAAAAACAAGCTGTTAAAATGACTTGATGGGGTGAATAAGGCGCTCGCTCACGGGTATAATATATGCTATTATGAAGAAATACAACTTGAGATTTGGAAGGAACTTGAAGAGGTCCTTGCTCAAGAGTCTCTTCTGTGGGCTCAAAAGGCGAGAATAGACTGGAATATTTATGGAGACAGGAACACCAAGCTTTTTCACTCACATGCCAACGGACGGAGAAAAGCTAACCGAATAGATGCTATATGTCTTGAAGATGATACCTGGTGCTATGACATTGGAGAAATAAAACAAAAGGCAACGCTGTTCTTCTCTTCCTTATTCAAAGAAGACACCATGATCCGTGACAATATTTCCTGTGGAATTTCCTACCCGGCTGTAGATGATGTGTATATGCGAAACTGTGCTCGAGAGGTTGACGATGAAGAAATAAAGAGTGCTTTATTCAGTATGGGACCGTTGAAATCTCCAGGACCAGATGGCTTTAATGCCTTATTCTTTCAGCATCAATGGGACACGGTGGGCCCTATGTTCGTGCGGTTTGTTAAAAGCCTTTTTGCCAACCCCCAATCCATTGAAGAGATTAATGGAACTTTGATTGTCCTTATTCCTAAAAAAGACCCGCCTGAGACCTTCAGAGACCTACGACCTATAAGCTTGTGCAATGTGGTTTATAAGGTGGTGACTAAGATCCTAGCAAACAGGTTGAAGGGTTTTATGCATCGAATTATCTCCCCTAATCAGTGTGGTTTTGTTCCGAGCCGCCATAGTACTGATAATATTATTATTGCACAGGAAGTCATGCATTCTATGCGCATCATGCGCGGGAAGAAAAGTTTCTTTGCAATTAAAATTGATCTAGAAAAGGCCTATGACCGAGTGAACTGGAATTTCTTGATGAATTGCCTGAATGAATTAAATTTGCCTGCACATTTTGTAGAGATTATTAGGTCATGTGTTACTACGGCTGATCTACAGCTCCTTTGGAATGGAAGTAAAGCGGAGTCTTTCAAATCTTCTAGAGGAGTGCGTCAAGGAGACCCCATCTCTCCATGTCTCTTCGTTATTTGCATGGAGAAACTGGCTCATATGATCCAAGAAAGGATGGAACATGGTGAGTGGAAACTAATCAGACTTACAAAAAATGGACCTCCATTATCTCACCTATTTTTTGCGGATGATATCCTTTTGTTCGCTGAGGCATCGTTGCAACAAGCTGAGATGATTAATAATTGCCTCCAGTCCTTCTGCATAAGTTCATGTTTAAAGGTTAATATTGCAAAAACCCGCATATTTTTCTCTTCTAACATGAACCATACGAGATGCTCTGAGATCAGCAGGTCATTGGGATTCACTCAAACGGCAGATTTGGGAAAATATCTGGGCGCTGCATTACACCATAAAAGAATCAACAAGGAAACCTTTCAGGAGACTGTGGATAAAGTCAAAGCAAGAATTTCGAAGTGGAAAGTTAATTCCCTCTCTCTAGCAGGGCGAACTACACTGATCTCTTCTGTGACAGCTGCTATCCCTAACTATGTGATGCAAACAGCATTGCTACCTTCGCCAGTCTACGAAACTTTTGATAAACTCAACCGAGGGTTTCTCTAGGGGAGTACATCAGAAAAAAGGAAGATCTCTTTGGTCGCATGGGACGCAGTTTGTACGAGTAAGGTAAATAGCGGTCTAGGATTGCGACATGCTACCCTACAGAACCACGCACTGCTCATGAAGTTGGGGTGGAAACTTGTAAAATGCCGCGAAGACTTATGGGTCAAAATTGTTCGAGATAAGTACAAATGTGGAAACGATTTAATGCCAAAGATTGATTACAAGCGAAGTGGGTCGAACGTGTGGTCGGGGATCAAGAGGATCTGGAATAAGGTTGAGGAGGGCATTGAAAATAATACGAGGAACTCCAATATACGATGGAAGTGGGAGCGCAGTGGTAATTTCACTGTCAAGTCTGCCTATGAGCAACTAAATCAAAATGGCATGGTGAAAGATGCTTTCTGGGAGAAAATCTGGAAACTACGAATACCTCAGCGATGTAGAACCTTCTTCTGGTTAGCTTTTCGTAAAAGCCTCCTCACCAACGCAGCTCGGAGGAAACGGGGACTGAGCACTGATGACAAGTGCCCAGTCTGTAAGACGAAGGTGGAAGATTTATTGCATGTGCTGCGAGACTGCAAGGATACAATAGCACTTTGGAAAAAGCTAGTCCACCCCTCAACTTGGAGGAAATTCTGCACGTTAGAGTTCTCTGAGTGGGCCCGATGGAATATTACCAGGAAAGATGATAATCATACAGAGTGGGGAAGCCTTTTTGCGGTGTTGTGTTGGTGGATATGGCGACGTCGCAATTTGAACATCTTTGAAGGGCAGGAGCTCCATAATGAAGCACTCATTGTCAATGCCTTTACAATGATAATGGGCATACATGAGTTGCAGGTTCGTTTGAAGGGAGCCCATATGCAGGGGTGCAACGCGGAGCTAGGGCATGGCAGTGGAAACCACCTGAGGCTTCTTGGATCAAGGTGAATGTAGACGGAGCTTTCTCCCACTCGAATCACTCTAACGCATGTAGTGGAATATTGCGGAATGAGAGAGGCGAGTTCCTTAAGGGTTTTATCTGTAGAATGGACAATGGAGATGCCTTTACGGCCGAACTATGGGGTTGTCTGCATGGACTCAAAGTTGAATGGGATGAAGGCCACCGCAGAGTTATTCTAGAATCAGATGCATCCAGTGTAATAGAGCTCTTGTCCACTGAACCTAATGAGGACAACGCCGACTACACTCTTCTACAAGAAATTAGATCACTCATAGATAGAAGCTGGGAGGTTCGACTTTCGTACGCCCCTCGAGCATGTAATGCTGCAGCTGACCATTTGGCGAAGTTTGGACTTGGAGGTTTGTTGGGATTTCACATGGTCTATGAACCACATTATGCACTTGCTGAACTCCTGGCTATTGATTGCCGTATGACAAAGGGCAATCACGTAGGTGTTAGCTAAGGTTTCCCTTTATTTATCAAAAAAATAAAACGTTAACTCTGACTACTATTTCTCTGTTCCTACTTATAAGGCAAAAGAATAATGAGATTTTTTATCCTATTTATAAGTCACATATCATTAAATCTTTTATATGAATATATAATGTATATTAAATTAGAAAGTTACTGAATTTTAAGAAAAACTTAATAAAATTTAAGGTTTTCCTTAGTTTTTAGTTTGTGTGACTATGTTCTTTAAAAGTTTGAGTTTAATTCAAAATTTGGTCTATCCCACATGATCATACACCAAAGCTTTTGAGATGAACCCAATTGCCCAAACCCGTTCCCTCTTATTTAATTGCCTACTTGAAGAAAAAAGGTAGAACATTATTACCTCATACTCGATGAAGATGATAATTTTTGAGCAAATATTAAGAAGCAGTCAATATAATTTATGTTAACCAAAATTTGCTAATTGCTAGCTAAGCTAGTTGCCACTATACTAATTAAAGCATATAAATATAATTAAAGTTGCCTTTTGAGCATGCAAGCAAGTTTCTATTGTTTTATTCGGCTCCAAGTTCATTCGAGCATAGTGTGGCTGTCTTTCCATATGATTACACGTTCATATAATCACTTCTTGAGCTGCCCATAACTCTAAATTATTCCTTCAAAACCAAATTGGCTGCTGACGCCAATCAGATGTGGAACTCCCTCCCTTCACAAAGCATGGCTTACCTCCCAGTATATATGAGGAGGCATTTTGTCATAATTATAAGTCTTTAATTTGTTGTGATTCTGTGTTTCTAGCTTGTTATTCTAATTTAGATTAATTTAATTTCGGTGCTATGTGTTACTTGGTTAATTAAAGGTACAGGTTGTGCCAAATTGCGAACGCGCATGTGCATGTGCGATGCATACAATTAGAAGAATAAGCCTGGAAGCTTTGAGCCACGAACGCGCACACATGTGTGGGCGTATTTTATATATTTATATTAGTTGCCTTGAGAAGCAAGATTTAAAACAAAAAATAAAATAAAATGACATGAAATGTACTATATACTGGTGATCGATGAACCACGGGGACCAAACAAATAATATTTGGATATAATACTTCCCTTGTTTAATACAAACCCAATTAACTAATTTGAGGAGATTAATGAAGCTTATTAATTTTTTTTAAAGTGTTTATGTTTATTATTTTTTAAAATTAATTTGCCTTACTTATAGATAAGTGTTTCAGAAAGAACCAAATGCACTCATGATGGTTTCTTATTCCTCCCAAATACAAGCCATATTCGTATCAGTTAACTAAGGTTTCTGAGTCATATGAATATTTAGTTTCGGACAAAAAAGTCATATTTTAGATATTTTACTCCTACTAATAATCAATTGCATTTTGACAAGAATCATATGTTAATCATTTGCTACTAAATGTTAATTTCTCTTCTTCTTTTTTCAAAAAGAAAAATAAATAATATCACGCGAGTCTCTTGCTAGTTTCTCTTCTAAGAGTTGCATAACATAAATTCTTATTTGATTAGATGCTGATTTGAATGCAAAATAATTGCCAAAACTACTTTACAAAAGTTATTATAAAAATGTTCTTGTTAGAATATGCTTCATATTCTGATAATCTTCACGAAATTTTCAATATACAATCATGGACTACAGTAAGGTAAATTCCCTTATATCTTATTTCAATAATATCCGTAATCCTTCCCCAGGATTTGAAACTGTACAATAAATATTCTTAAACTTTTACATTTGAATAGATGACTATTGTTTGTATAAAAAAAAAAAAGAATAGATGACGATTGTAATATTAATTTTGTTCATTATTATCCGCAAATGACTGAAAGGGATTTATCCACATTTAATTCAAAAATTGAGGAGGCTATATACATACAAAAATAAAGTTTCATGGGTATAAAATTGATAGTTTGGGGTTACCTATATATATTTGAAAGTTTAGGGGGTTTGTAATTAAGTTTAAAAACTTAAGGAGACTACTTATATATGGTTCTAAGCATGGGGAAGTTTTATGCAATTTAGCCTAATAACAAATAAATTCTAAGAAATAAAAAGGGTTTGGGGTTGTCCGAAATGGTATGTGTGGAACTTCAACAACCAAGTGTTGATGAGAATCCTAAACAATGATAAATGATTGTCATGTGAGAATTTGTTTATGAGTGTGTCGAATAATTAAGAATCCCTTCATTGCTTAGTCCTAATAGATTCGGATATTAATCTAGAAATTCTCATATCCCACTTGCCAAATAAGTGGGAATGTGATCCTTAATTAACATGAACATTTGCAATTGTTTATATGCAACATGAGGATCATGTTCAAGCAAAAACACACACAAGGAAGATCTATTATAGCTGTTCGTTGATGTAAATTAATGTTCTAAAGTCATATCTCAAACAATAGTAGTATTTTTAAACAATATTCTCCTACATTTTTATTTCATTTATTATATATTATGAATATCCTTGATTTTGAATTTGTTTTGGTAAAGTTCAGGTATCTTCCTGTAGAGGACAAGAATTATATGTTCAGGATGTATGATAATCATTCTTAATCTGAAGATCACATGCCAGATTATTGAATAAGACAGAGATTTTAATTTAATCAGCCACTTGAAATATATACAAGTCTTCATAATTATTGCGTAGCACGCTCTAATTAGGAACAAAGAAATGGGTTACAAACTGGTTTTGGGTCCATCTTATAATTATTAGGATGTCTGAGCGTAATAAGGAAGAAATTAAACTTGGACAGATCTAATGCAACTGCAGGTATTTCAATTCATTGACCACTGAAGATAACAATATATGAACATAAATGTGTGTGTGTGTGTGGGCACACATGCTTTTGCAAACTCTGAATGGCTGGCCACATATTATTGAAAAAAAATGAGATAGCTGGTATGCTAATAGGGCTGTTAGAGAGAACTATCTGGAGAAATATTAAAAAACACTACCTTGACAACCACTAAGTCCACAAGTAGGCCTTACTTAATTAAACCACTTCTTGATCCTATTGCATTAATTTATTATAATCCTACATTTATATCTAGGATCAAAAGAGTATCAACATAATGATCCATATATACATGGCCCCAGAAAAACATTTCACGTTGTTGGAAACAGATGAGTCCTTTTTGAT